AGGCGAGGAGAGGGGGGCTGGGCTGGGTTGGGTTGGGTTTGATCGATGGATCGATCGGCGGCGCGGGTGGGGTGGTGGTCGAAGCGGGCCAGCCCACCTGTGGACTTTCTCTAAACCACCTATTCATCGCTCGACGAACCTCGCACAGGGGGCGTGCTATATTAACCAGGCCTATTAAGCGGCTAATACTGTTTTTTTCCTCTCTCTCTCTCTCTCTCTCTCTCTCTCTCTCTCTCTCTCTCTCTCTCTCTGACGTTTTCCTGGTTTTTATTCGGAATTTTTTACCTTTTATATTTATTTAATATTCCTTTTTATTTTTATTTCCTAAAAAGATTATTCAAGAGTATTTGTGAAAATACACGATGCACATTTTTAAAAGAGATGACAAGCATTCCTTCTTTTCATTTCTATAAATATACTTTTTATACATCTACATTATAAAAAATATGCAATGGTTTTTAAAAATATTTTTTTGACACATAAACCTTCTCTTTATTAAACTGTTACAATAGTAGCATCAGATACAACCAACAGTAAGACTTCCCTGGGTGGGGAATCCAACCATACATGAGGGGGTGAGAATTTAGCAAGCCTAGCTAACTCATGGTCTACACGATTATTCTCTCTACAGCAGTGCTCATACAAGGTATGGGAAAAATCAAGAGACATAAAGTAGCAGTCATCAAAGATGGCACTAGCTACTGAAGATGAAAATCCCTTCTTTAGTGCCCCTATTACCTCCAAACTATCCGAATTCAGTTCGATTCTATTGCAGCCTGCTGTACGAGCCAAGTTCAAACCAAACCTGACCGCAATGGCTTCTATCGTGAGTGCATCATAACAGATATTCAATTTTTTATTTGCAGCCGCTATGAACTTGCCGTTATGATCTCGGATGACAGCTCCAACCGAGCCTTCGAGTGTGTCAGCATCGAAACCCGCATCCACATTAAGCTTGACGCAATCATGCCTCGGTCTGACCCGGCCATCAAGGCGTACTCGCGCCTTAGGTGAATAAGCTGAGATAAAATTCGCCACAATTGCTCGAACTGAGAGATTAATTTGGGATGCAGTTTGCGGTGTCCCCCCATGCGTATGCTTTCTCCTTTCCCACCACAAATACCAGCAGCAAGTTGCAATTGTTTCCTTCAGCTTCGGAAGTCCAAGGATCTGGACAAAGTTCTCAAGCAAATTTAGAAGAAAATCCAAAACCCTCTCCCCAGACTTATCCATAAGCAAACCTTGCTTTATCACATCGTACAGACCAAAGCAGTTTCCAAACCTCCACTGCCACCGGGCACTCAAACAGAAAGTGTCGAATTGTTTTAGGGCCATTCTTACAAACTGGACAAAGTGGTGAAATTTTGATATGCCTATCAGACAAGCTCGCACGACAGGGAATTGAACTATTGAGCGCTCTCCAAATGAAAATTTTGACTTTCCCCAGGCAGTTCAGAGACCAAATAGACTCCCAAGTGGGCGTAGTTGAGGTCGAGCTGCCAACTTGTTGTAAACGTTGCCCGAATTGACTATCCCAAACTGCGTGATAGGCAGATCTTACTGAAAAAACACCCGTTTTTGTATAGCTCCAAGCCACAAAATCGGCCATCTCATAAATTGGCAGTGGGATGGAGAGAATTCTTTGAACATCCACACCACAAAAGGTTTGGTTCACCAGCAACGTGTCCCAATCCCCTGTCGCCGGTTCAATAAGTTCTTCAGCCTCCATTCCAAAATAAAGTGTCGTGGTTTTAGTTCAACGTAGTGAACAATTTTTACACGATGAATTTTTTTAACTGTTTACCACTATATTTTTAATACTTTTCATGTTACAAATCGAGTGAGGTTATTAACCGAGCTTGATTTACTAATATTCATGCATTGGAAGAGGGAGGGGCGTACCCTTACCCCTTTTCCTCCCCTGATTACACTTAGGGTTCATTTGGTTGCTAGGAAAATAAAACTATGGGCACACAGCCTCGGGGAGAATTTTCCACAACAAATGGTATCCCAAACCCGGGTAAAGGAGGAGGGTTGTGATAGGCTTGGCAAGCCAACGTAAAAACTCATCCACTCTTATGGAGATGAAACCCAAAAGAGACAGGGGCGCGTGGAAGCTTGCTATCCATGTACCAGAGCCATGAGTTGGTTGCGAGATCTTATGGGTTTTACCTCTAGCCTACCCCAACTTGTTTGGGACTAAAGGCTTTGTTGTTGTTGTTGTTGTTGTTGTTGTTGTTGTTGTTGTTGTTGTTGTTGTTGCTGTTGCTGCTGCTGCTGCTGCTGCTGCTGATGATGATGCTGTTGTTGTTGTTGTTGTTGTTGTTGTTGTTGTTGTAAATGGTATCCCTACCACCACATGGGACATATCCCCACCATTCACATTGGCCAAATGGAAATCAAGGGAGGAAGAAAATCCCTAACAAACATGTATCAGGATAACGTCCATGAATTAGAAAAATGATGCACAATAATACTGCAGATATCATCTTCATCACACCTTCATTACAGTGTCATTTCCAGAAATATTATATGGAACAAAATGATAGTTTTTTTAATGAGAGCTTGATCCCAAAGGACCCAAAACCTGAATTAATACTTATCATAGCGGACTACTATTGCCCCTTCGAAAATAGTGATTTTCACTGCCTTCACAGTCGATTAGTGTGTACCCTTTCGTTTGGTTTACAGGTGACTCGAGTTGAACGCAGTTGTAGCCCACCACAGTGTGATGACAGATAAACTTAGGGTAATACTTCGTCTCGTCCCCATAGCTGCAGTCATGCGCCGCCTCTTGCGTCCGTCAGTTCATGCTGCCTCACTGAGCTCACGTTTGGGCGGATCTATTTCCCCACTTTCCCTGATTCTTGTGCCTGATTCCTATTGGATTCCGTGTCAGAGATCACGGCAGGAAATTATAACCAGTTCCCTTTTTTACGAGGACACGAACTGGAAATAATAAACGCAATTGGGTCCTAATCAACTCTGGAATGGAACAAATGATACTAAGATAACTGATATAGCGACGACATTGCCAAGATAGTCTGGTATTATTGTGTCGAGTGGAGGTACATATGGCACTATGACTTTAGTAACCCAAAGGTGAAAGGATGTGAGCTAACTTCCAACCGCTGCTACTTCGTCTCGGAAGTCTATCCCCTTGATTCACAGAAATGAAATAATTAGAAGTTATACAACACAATATTAACCTACATGAAACATTAGGAGTGGGTATACAAGAATTCAATGATCGACAATTTCAGCAAGTTATCAAGTACCATCCCAACAACGAACAAATCACACAAGTGAAATCCGCTAGCAATAACAATTATCAAGTACTATGCTACCAATACATATATATGCTAGATCAATGGAACTATTTTCAACTATGTTGATGGGCAAGTTAAATTTAACAACTATTTTCATCAATTGTACTAATTCACAAATATTGATCTAACAAACATACTCCTTTTTAAAAATGAAATTAGTTGTTACCAATAGAAAGGGTGGTTGGCTAACCAACCATAGAATGACCGTGATGGATCACTTTGCATCAGTAGTGACAACAATTGATCACTAGAGTGTAGACCTCTAGTTAGTAGTTTTTCTGATATCAACTACAAATTTATTAATTTGTCGTGCTTCATTCAACAAAGACAAGAAATGAACGACCCAAAACATAGAGAAAATGGAGGAGTAGACATGTAATTAACTTGCAAGAAATGAAGCATTTTCAGAGGAGTGCTGGCCCTAATTTATGACAACCGTCAACACCAAGAAAACAAAAACAATTATGTAGTGCAACCTATAAACACATTGCATTACATTACCAAAAGCAAAACCACAAAAAATGGCTTAATTGCTTTGATTTTGAAACTATAATTGAAGACAAACAATGAGTTTAAAATAGGGAAAACTTGAGATGGCCTAAGGATTGGTTAACATGCAATGGTAGCCATTGACATGGGCTTGCAGTGGCATAATATTATAGGACGTTGCCCTGTAACTTTTGACATAATGTATAAAATTATGTATGTTGCACATTATTTCCAGAAAAACACAGCAGATGTTGCACATATCAGTCAAAAATCCATACTAGAAAAACAAAGCAGATGTTGCACATATCAGTCAAAAATCCATACTCTAGAAAAATCAATGCAATCTTGCAGAAAACGTATATTTTAAGACATTCTGCAATGGTCCCGATACTAACACACGATACGTCAAGAAAGTATATAGAGTTATACAAATACAGAAGAAATTCAGCTTGGTCGCAAAGCACCCAAGAGGAACAAGCTCCAGGATGCCAAACACCCCAGAGTAATAAGCTTCTCAACTTTTCACTTCCACTTATAACTGTGAAGAACTAAAACTGATGCACCGAATGCAATGGCAAGGGCACACAAAGTGCCCAAGCCATTCACTCTCAAATCCCACCAAAGCAACGAAAGCTATGGAGGATTATGAGAGGAAGAACAAGGAGAACACAAAAGAACTCCAAAATCTAGATCCACAAAGTTCCCCTCACATATAAGAGAAAATGATTGGTGGAAATATAGATGTAGGTCTCCTCTCTCTTTTCCCTCAAAAAGAATCAAGAATCATATAAGGAATAGAGAGTTA